GCCGAGCGCGTTGGACCGCGGCACGGGCGGGCAGGGGCAGCGGCCCGGGAGGCCAACAAAATCACAGAGGCGCGTCCAGAACGCCGCGGCGTCGGTCTCCCGCGCGAAGTCGAGCTCCAGGAGGCGGCGCGACTCGTTGCGCCCGGCGAAGTAGGCCCGGACGCCGTCGTCGTGCGCCGCGAGCAGCGCCGCGGCGTCCGCGACGGACGGCGGCGCGTCGCCGCGCCAGCCGAGCGCGCGCCAGAAGGCCGCGCCGTAGTTCGGGTTGTCGCGGTGCTTGTGGTCGATCCAGCGCATGGCCGAGCCCGCCCAGGCCGTGCCGTTGCGCGTCGTGAGCACGAATTTCGCGGACGCGTAGCGGTCGGCCAGGAGCGGCACGAGCTGCGGATTCGTGAACGGCGAGTCCTGGAAGCACTCGTAGCGGTCCACGATGTCGAAGAAGGTCTGCGTCCCCGCCGCCTGCCGCGCGAGCGCCGCGGCCTCGACGCGGAGGAGCCGCGCCTTGGACTCGAGGCCCACCTCGCGCAGCGACATCAAGGCGCAGGCGTTGCTGAAGGACGTCGTGCCCGTCTTCTTGAAGCCCACGTCGAAGACGCGCACGCGCGGCGCATCGGTGCCGGCCGCCGTCGCCAGGAACGCCAGCAGCAGCGCGGGCTGCTGCCTCGGATGATGGACGCGCATCGCATATGGGCTGCGAGATTCAACGTGGGCTAGTGCCGCTATCCCACGTTGCCGCTATGGTGCCGCAATCCGAGCTCTGCCGTGGTAAGCAGGCGCCGGCCTCGTGGTCTTGCGCGCCGTTCTCGTCCCCACGAACAAACACGGGTGACACGATTGCGTACAACACACGACTCCTCGCCCCAACGACCATGCGCACCACCGCGCTGTTCGTCGCATCCCTCGCCGCGTGCGCCTCCGCGCTCTCGACGACGAAGAACCAGCGCGCGCCGTCTCTCGCTTTGAAAGGCGAATCGACCGCCGCGCTCAAGGAGCAACTGCGGCGCACGGCCGCGCCGACGCAGAACGGCGTCGGCGCGTCGGAGCGCACGGTGCTCACCGTCGAGGCCATCGCCGCGGAGCTCGAGAGCCGGCGGGACCTCGACGCGTTCCCCGCGCTCGAGGGCGCGCACGAGCTCGTCTTCTCGACGTCGACGGGCGCGAGCAGCGGCAAGCTCGGCCCCTTCGTCGGCCACGTCACGCAGACCTTCCTCGACGAGAAAACCTTCGTCAACGCCGTCGAGCTCGGGCCTTTGAAGGTCGCGCTGACCGCGCGCCGCGAGCCGCTCGACATGTCCGGCTGGACCTACCGCGTGACCTTCGAGTCCATGGGCCTCTCGCTCTTCGGCGTCGAGGTAGGGAGCAAGCCCATCTCCGGCGGCGGCACCTGGAACATCCGCTACGTCGACGACGACCTCCGCATCATGGACGCGCCGTCGCTCTTCGTGCTCTCGCGGCGACGGGACACCGCGAAGAGCCCGACGCTCCTGGACGTCCTCGACGACCCGGCGAAGTTCATGGAGGACGACGACTAGGCGCGTGTCTAAGTCGTGTTACGGAAGGCGGCGGCGGCCGCGCGCGCGGCGCGAGGCCGCGGCGGCGCGGCCCTCGCGGGCGCGGCGCGGCCGCGCCGGACGGGCGGCCGGGTCGGAAGAACGGCGCGGCGGGGCCGCCGCGGCGCCCCGCCCTAGCGCTGGGGCATGGTCTTCTGGTTCTTCTTCTTCTTCTTCTCCTCGGCCTTTTTTTTCTTCGCGATGGCGTCGGACCGCGCCTTGGCCTCGGCGAGGGCCTTGTCCGACAGGGGCGCCTTGCCCTTGACGGCGCCCTTGCCCGCGCGGTTCTTGAGGACGTCCTTGATGTTCGCCGGGTTCGCGGGCGCGGCCGCGGGCTCGGCCGCGGGCTCGGCCGCGGGCTCGGCCTTCTTCGCGTCCGGGCGGCGCTTCTTGTTCTTCTTCTTCTTGTCGTCCTTCTTCGCGCCGTCGTCGTCCGCCGCCGGCTTCTCCGGCTCGGGCGCGGGCGCCGGCTCCGGCGCCTCGACGGGCGCGCAGCCCTCGGCCTCGAGCAGCGCGTCGAGCGACTCGAGCTCCTTGGCCTTGAGCTCCTTGCGCTCCTTCTTGCTCAGCTGCTCGACGGGCTTGGGCTTGGGCTTGTCGTCCTTCTTCTCCGGCTCCGCGGGGGCGTCGAGGGCGCTCGGCGCCGCGGGCTCGTCGTCGTCCTCCTCCTCCTCGTCCTCGGACTCGTACTCCTCCTCCGACTCCTCGGCGTCGGACTCGTCGCCAGCTCCACCTGCGCCAGAGGCCCCCGCGTCGTCGTCGTCGGAGTCCTCATCGGCCCAGTTGATAGCTTTCTTCGCTGTGAAGGGGAAGCTGCTCATCAAAGTCTTGATCGAACCTGCGCGCGGCGCGGCGTTGAGCGGATCGCTGTTTTTCGGCGTCGAGGGGTCCCAGGCGGGGTCGGAGGCAGCGTAAGAGACCCGGCGGCGCGCAGTCGCGCTAGAATGCCTAGCGGAAGTGGGCTTGTGTGCAAGCCCAGCGTCGCCCTTTGCTGGAGCGATTGC